AAAAAAAAAAAAAAGAGGCACATGGCATACTGCCATTGAGTCGTTTCCGACCCGTAGCGACCTCCATTGGGATTCTGAGGCTGTAAATCTTTACAGAAGTAGATCACCCCATCTTCCTTCTGTGGAGCAGCTGGTGGGTTTGAACTGCTGACCTTCCAGTTAACCATCAAGTGCCTTATCCACTGTGCCACCAGAGCTCCAAAAAACAAAAGGTAGCCTCATTTTCCTCTTCAAACCCCTAAAACCCCAAATATTCAAAAGCAAGAGAACAAGATACGATATGCAGATTCAACTTTGCCTCCTGCATTCTGGGTTTTGAATATTCTGAAATCTCTCTCTGTGTATGGATAATAAAAGCAAATGTGGTAGCAGAAGGGTGGGGTGGCATGGGAGGGGCCGAGCGGGCGAGGAAGAGTATGACCGAGAGACACAAATGAGGTGGCACAGAGCTGCCCGTAGCCACCACCCTGAGCAGTGCTGTCCACACCTGCAATGTCCCCGCGCCAGGGGTGGGACGCAGCACCGGCCCATCTGAATACACCTCTGAGTAGACGTGTTGGAATGTTTGCATGCCACGCCATGAAACCACACAGAAGGTCGATCATGAGAGCACTGGGCCTGGTTCCAGACCCGGAGACGCCCAAGCACCTGCCCGCGTCTCCAGCAAAGCTCCTGCACTACTACAAGGCAGAGGCAGTGTGCTCACGAAAGGGGCCATGGCACTGGCTGCGAACACAGACCTCATCTGAAGGACTTGGGAGCACCAACGTCCTAGAGGTTAAAATATAAAACATCTATTTGACCAATATCCTGAAAGTTAAAAATAAGTAAATACAATATCTGCCGGGTGTGCAGTGGGGGCTAGGCTCTCAGCACGCCAAGACGATGACGAGAACCGTGATGCAGACAACGAATGGCAGTGGCAGTCGACACTGAGCGCTCCCTGGGTGCCCAGTCCCGCGCTCAACGCTTGCCACATGGAATCTCACCGTGAGCCGCTGCCACCCCGCCAGGCCCCCACACCCACAGGAAGCACCACCCTCTCACCTGCTGTTCATGTAAGAGAAACCTCTGGAAGTCATGCAGGTGGACAGCAGAGGCATCCGGCCGGTCCGTGTTCCTACCTCAAGAGAAGGGGGCTTGTTGAGAGAGTCATGTTCAAAGAGGGAGTCAATGGGCACCTTTGTCCAAGTGGGCAGCCCACACCCAGTGAGCACTATGCGCCAGGACTGTGGCCAATGGGAGACAGGTGAACAAGACGTCCCCAGGTACATGCAGATGGAGGAGACAGCACCCCAACATGGAAGGACTCAAAGGGGGGAGGTGACACCAGAGTCCGGGGAGGTGACACCAGAGTCCAGGAAGGTGACACCTGGAATCTGCATTTTTAACAGGCTGCCCAAGAGGCTCTGATGCAATGGGTCCTACCAGTTCAGTAAGACTGAGACGCTCAGAACACTGCGTAACCCCTCCTGGGGAGCTCTGAAGGGCAGTAAAGGCACTGACAAGTCCCGCTGCGTTTACTTTTCAATAATAGTATCACTACATTTCTGAGCTCTTATCGTGCGTCAAGAACCACGTGAAACATTTCGTATGCTTCAACGCTTCACAGTTCAGTTAAACCTGCTGAATCAGGTTAAGTTAAAACTTATTTGACCGTTACAATGATTTCAATTTTTGTAAAAACCCTGTTAATTCATCCCAGTGCACACAGCACAGTTTGGGACAGGAAGCCCTGGGGCAAGCATGCTTCCCGTTGGACCCTTCTAGGCCGATCCTCTCCATACTCCACAAACCCTGCTGCTGGGGGTCACTTCTCCATGGCACAGGCTCGCGATGCTGACCCCAACGGCAGGATGCTGTCCCCATGGAGATAAGCAATGGCACAGCACATGCCGCCTCTCAGAGGCCACCAGCCAAGCTCGGAGGACGGGTGAGGGTACCATGCCCAGCCCGGCCCTGACGATATAACACTCAAAGGCAGCCTCACCCCAGGATGAAGACAAAAGAATCCTTCTTGAATTCGTCAAGAATCTGAAATGGAAAACACACACAGAAAAAGCACGTTAGACAAGTCAGGCCTCGTCATGCACACAAATGAGCACATCTTTGTTTGTTAAACCGTAACTTACACTCGCTGTGACTAAGCCCACGTGAGAACACAGGAGCAACCAGGCCTCCTCCTCACCCCTTCCCTAGTGTCGCTCTGAGAAGCCACGCCATGACAATCTGGGAGGTGTCCCTCTAGAACCAGTGTTATGTATTCGTGTCCCACAAATCATATCACACACGCCACAAGTGCTGCTTCAAGTGTTCCATGGTGTGCTGCAGCTTCCAATAACCCAACCTTGCGATTCTGAAAAACCACGCTGTATTCCATAATGTGTATGCATTCAATTTTCTGCTAGGACAGCCGGTGTTACAATAAACAGATGCCCTCGTGTGTGTGGTACCCACCGTGCCCGCATCTCTGTAGGGTGGGTTCCTAAGAACGAGAAGCACCTGAACACAGACACTGCACATAACACCACTGACAGGTGCTGCTCTCGTGTTCTTAGTTGCTGCCCATCAATGTGTCGATTCCCACTGGTGGCGACCCCGCTGTCAAGGCAGAACTGTGTTCCACGGGGGCTTCTTGGCTACCACCTCAGCAGATGCCAATCACCAGGGCTTTCCTCCACACCAACCTCTAGGTCAGCAGTGAGCTGCCAACACTTGGCACCACCAGGAGCCAGGGACCACCCAGCTTGCTCCCCAAACATGTCAGCAGCACCCCACCTGGGGAAGCAACCCCTCCTGCATGCTCGCTGACAGATTTTACCTCCAGTGTTTCAAGAAGCTCACTGCTAACTTGAGAATTCAAGAGGAAGCAGTAGTACTGGACAGCGTGAGTTCTAATCTCGTGGCCTCCCGACACGCCCATGACTTAGACAGTAAAAGCACTCCTAGAGGACTGAGTAAATAATCCTGACTAGCCCATGATTAAAAAAGAAAGGAAGGAAGCTCTCAAGCCATGAAAAGACATGGCAGAACCTTAAATGTGTCCGGCTAAGTCAAAGAAGCCAGTCTGAAAAGGCTGCTCCAACTTCTTGATACTGTGGAAAAGGCAAAACTACACAGACAGGGAGGGTCAGTGGTCGGCAGGGGAAGGGGCAGGGGCGGGCACAGGGCATCTCCAAGGCACTGAGGTTATCTGCACAATACTCTAATGCTGGACACGTAATATTCCACATTTGTTCAAACCCGTATACCACACAAGACGAACAGTAAAACCTAATGTAAACTGCAAAACCCACAGTTGTAGGGTTGATTCTGACTCATCCCGACCCCACGGGGCAGGCAGGACTGCCCCAGAGGGTTTCCAAGGCTGTAAACCTGCATGGAAGCAGACTGCCACATCTTTTCCCCCATGGAGCTGCTGGTATTTGAACCACCGACCTTTCGGTTAGCAGTCAAGCACTTTAACCACTGTGCCACCAAGGTCCCTATACGTAAATTACAGACGTTATCCAACTCATAGTGACCCTACCTTGGGTTTTTGAAGTGCTATCACTATGGTAGTAGATTGCCCAACCTTCCTTCCGAGGAGTGGCTGGTGGGTTTGAACCGCCAGCCTTCTGGTTAGCAGTCAAGTGCCTTAGCCAATATGCTACTCCTAGTCCCCGCTAACACACCAGTTTGTTACTGAGCACACTTCAGGCCCTCCAACACACAGCACACGCCCCCACACCCTTGTCCGTTTCCGGCCAGGCCACATCACCTTAAGTAGTCCTGGTGGCATGATGGTGACGTGGTGGCTGGTAATCAAAAGACCAGTGGTCTGAGCCCAGCTGCTGCACAGGAGAAAAGAGCCTCGAGATCAGGGTGTCACTGGGCTTGGCGCCACTCAGAGCACAAACTCACAATGGCACTCCTCCTTGCCCCAGACCTCCTCCCCTATCAGACCACACACAAGCCTTAGCAACTGAGTGGAAGCCTTTTGATTTTCCACCTCCTTTTCTTTAATTACTTCTTCATTCTCAAAAAAAGTGATTGATACAGGTTCACAAATACTAATTACCACACTGTAGGTAAAATACTGAATGCTAACCAGAAGGCTGGCGGTTCAAACCCACCAGCCACTCCTTGGAAGGAAGGTTGGGCATTCCGTAGTGATACTGCCTCGGAAACCCAAGGAGGGGTCGCTATGAGTCGGGGCCAACTCGATGGCAAATAACAACAACAACAACAACAGCTAAAATACCAGAAAATTTGACAAAATCAGTGACTACAAAAACACTGGCAACAACGAAAATACCAGTGTGTGGTTTGAGGGTGTGCAGGTGAGACCATGTGATTAGAAGCATCACTGTGATTGGGTAGGGATGACAGCACTGCCCAAGATGGTTCAGAAGTGACCAGGCACAGGATGTCAGTCTCGTACGTGCACTGACAATAGAAGCTGGGCTTACAAAACATGTTTTTGTTGTTACAGCTAACTACAGGGATAGTTTTATTAAAAATAATAAATTACTGCTGAAACACTGCACAAAACCTTTATAGACATTCGTCTGCTGCTACTCCTTCTGACAGCGTTACCAGGGGTGGTCCACACACCCTGCGGCCCTATCATGATGCCACTGTTGGTGATCTGGCCCCGTAAAGATGACAGCCTAGGAAACCCCATGGGACAGTTCCACTCTGTCCTGCAGGGTCACCATGTGTTGAAATCGGCTGGGCACACCACAGTTCTACTTTGACAGCTTCAGCGAGACTGTCATTGGACAGGCACTGGAATAAAATCAGGGCAGAAAAGAAAACGTAGCCACTGGCAGGACATGAACACTCATGATACAGAACAGCTAATCTCTGGACCACGAGGACACTAGCCCCAAACAATGTGGAGTCCCGATAACAAGCGGAAAACCCACATTCCAGAAAAGCTCTACAAAGCATCAGGAGATCTACATGTGTGTGTGCATGGGTGTGTGCATGCATGTGCACATGTGTGTATGTCTTATTTTTCTAGAAAGATGACCCACAGCTTTGATCAACATCTTAAAGAAGCAGGTCATCCAAAAAGGGGAAAAGCTACTCTTTTTAGAAAAACCAGTCCTTCCAGCCATTTGTGTAATTTATACCTTAACTTTAAAAAAAAAAAAAAAAAAAAGATCCTTGACAGCATCATTTGGATACTCATTTGGAGCTTAGGTCACAGGGTAAATCTGGTGGCTTAAGGTGAAACCCCTTCCAAGCCCAAAGCCCCAAGACGGGCTCAGCTACATCCCAAGTGAGCCCCACATAACCCACCCGCAGTGACCCCCCAACACACATGGCTGGTAAAGCCAGTCCCTCCCCTGAAAGTAACCTCAGTCAAGCACAGAAAAGCTCCACACCTCAGCCACTCGGGAGCCAGGACGACTGGGGGGGGTGGTGCACAGGCAGAGATGCCCCCCAACTCCCACGGCCAGAAAGATGTTGACAACAGGCCAGCTTCTCCCCTCCTGGGCCCTGCAATCCGCCCCGGAGCACCCTCAGGCTAAACCGACCGGAAGCCAGTTGGCACAGGAAGCCAGGGCACTGTTTGCAGGAATCCACCCCAACAACACACTGCAGGGCAGGGATGCACAGGAGGCCAGCAGACAGATACGCAGCCCGGCACTCGCCGCTCGGGGAGTCAGAGGGCCTTCAGACCCCGCTGTCACAGCGTCCAAGCCAAGCTGCCTGGGAGGGGCTCCGTCAGAGCACGGGAAGGCAGCACTGTGGTTTCCTCCCTGTCTGGCTCCTGACGCACAGATGCCAATAAACCCAGCGACCTTGATGCCACAGGGCACGCAGCACTCAGCAGGTGTGCGGTGAGACCTGGCCCAGTGAAGGAAGAAGAAAGGACATTTGCTCTGGTCTCTGGAGTCAGAGCCGGGGACTTGGGCAGGAGCAGCTTCTCAGGAGATGGAGCACGTGGCCAGGGTGTCTGTGCTGAGGGCGGGTCTCACACTTGGCCGGTGCTTCTCCACAGAGCCTGCTTTCACCCACTCCAGCCCCACCCACTGGACTGTGGATTGACAAGCATCAGAAGCGGTCCATTCCACTATGCAAATGATCCAGGTACATGTGGCAAACCAGGTGGTTCCCAAGTGTGTTACGAGGCATACGTGTCCCATGAAACACAGTGGGGGGGAAGGCAGAGAGGTCTGCAGGGAAATATACTGGGAACCACTGGATGCTGCGAATCCCCTCCTGGAGACTCTCAGTGCCTGTGAGGATTAAACGCTCTGAAATGTCCCACAATAAAGCAAGCTGCTTTGCTCAACTCAGTTTCCCGACATATATAACACGTTTCCTGGAGCTTATGACGGAAATCACTATGTCCCAGTGCCGCTTCACACCAGACGCACAAACAGCCCACAAGTTCTACCACATTCTCGCACGGTCTCAGGCCAGCAATCAGGACTTGTGGGTGCACGTCCTGGTATCTGTGACGCACGGGGCTGGCCTGTTATCCTAACACTGGGGCTTCTATCCTGACTGCTGTCTGCACAGTGTCTGCTTCAGTCTTCCTTAAAGCCCTTCAAGGGAGACACCCCTGTCCTCAAGTGATGGAAGTGAAAGTGGAAGCTGAAGTTCAGAGAGGTTAAGTAACAAGCCCGAAGTCACACAGCTGCTAATTACTGAAAGCGAGATCCGTGCTCCGTCCTCAGCCCCAGGCTGTTACTGGGCTTGGAGAATCTTTCGAGCTTCCTCTCAGTGACCCCCACAGGATCTCATGAGAGGTCAGTCTTGGGATTACCGGTTTACAGGCCGAGTCCCTGCTGCCTACTCTAAACCCGGCTGCAGCACCCAGGAGCCGGGCAAGCCCCAAAGGCAAGTTATGCACAGCAATGTGGAGAGGTGACACTTCAGGTCAGTCTGTCCTATAGGACGCTACAGAGCAGGTCTAGATAAACGGGAAATTTGATATTTGAAGTTGAATCTACAAATTCAAACACGATTCTCGACTCCACCCCCTCAGTATACTTGTTATGTACCGTCAAGTCGGTTCCAACTCAGAGAGACCA